AACTACGGGACGCCGGCAGCTCGAAGTTGCACTACTCACGGAAGAGCAGCTTGGCGCAGCTTCTCTTGAAGATGGCTGGAGGGACATCCGTTCAGCCATAGGTAGTACTGCTGCAGCGGCACTAGGTACTGCAATCCCGGACCGAAGAAATGACTGGTTTGACGGCGAATGCAAACTGTTAGTAGAGCAGAAGAATGCAGCACGGGCGAGAATGCTGCAACACCGCACGAGATTGAATGTGGAGCGATACAGACAAGCGCGGAACAGACAAAACTCGGTTTTCCGAAGGAAGAAGCGTCAGCAGGCAGACCGAGATCGCGAGATGATGGAAAATCTGTACCGCGTAAACGACACACGGAAGTTCTATGAGAAGCTAAATAGTTCGCGCAAAGGCTACGTATCGCAAGCCGATATGTGCAAGGTTTGGACGGTAATCTTCTCACGAACGAATGTCTGGTGATTGAGAGGTGGAAGCAGTACTATGACGAGCACCTCAACGGTGAAGCAGCAGAAAACGAAGGTGGCACGGCAACAGACCTTCGAGCACGCGCAGAAGACGAAAGGCTACCGGCCCCTGATCTTCAAGAAGTTGAGGAGGAGATCGGTCGGCTGAAGAACAACAAAGCAGCTGGTGTAGATCAACTACCAAGTGAGCTATTAAAATACGGTGGTGAAGCACTGGCTAGAGCGCTGCACTGGGTAATTGCCAAGATTTGGGAGAAGGAGATATTACCGGAGGAGTGGCTGGAAGGTGTCGTATGCCCAATCTACAAAAAGGGCGACAAGTTGGATTGCTGCAACTACCGCGCGATCACACTGCTGAGCGTCGCCTACAAGGTACTCTCCCAAATTCTATGCCGCCGACCTGTCACCATTTGCAAGAGAGTTCGTGGGGCGATACCAGGCAGGATTCATGGGTGCCCAACTACCACGGACCAAATTTTCGTGATTCGGCAGATTCTGCAGAAATGCCGCGAATACAACGTGCCCACACATCATTTGTTCATCGATTTCAAATCCGCATACGACACAATCGATCGAGATCAGCTATGACAGATTATGCACGGATTTCCGGGCAAACTGACGCGATTGGTCAAGGCGACGATGGATCGAGTGATGTGCGTTGTTCGAGTATCGGGGACACTCTCGAGTCCCTTTGAATCTCGAAGGGGGTTACGGCAAGGTGATGGACTTTCGTGTCTGCTGTTCAACATCACGTTAGAAGGTGTGATCAGAAGAGCTGGGATAGACACGAGTGGCACGATGTTCAGGAAGTCCATCCAGCACCTTGGCTTCGCCGATGACATTGACATTATGGCACGGAACTTTGAGATAATGGCGGAAACGTACATCAGACTGAAGGCTGAAGCTAGACGGATTGGACTTGCCATCAACGCATCAAAGACAAAATACATTAAAGGAAGAGGTTCTAGGGAAGACAATGTTAGCCTCCCACCCCGAGTTCAGATTGACGGTGACGAAATCGAGGTGGTCGATGAGTTCGTGTATTTTGGCTCACTGGTGAACGCCGAAAATGATACCAGCAGAGAAATTCAAAGACGCATTATGGCAGGAAATCGTGCCTACTTTGGACTCCGGAGGACGCTCCGGTCGAATAAAATTCGCCGCCGCACGAAGTTGACTGTCTACAAGACGCTGATTAGACCGGTGGTCCTTTACGGCCACGAGACCTGGACTATGCTCGTGGAGGACCAACCTTGATGTTTTCGAACGGAAGGTGTTGCGTACCATCTACGGTGGAGTGCAGATGGATGACGGAACGTGGAGGAGGCGAATGAACCACGAATTGCACCAGCTGCTGGGAGAACCATCCATCGTCCACATTGCAAAAATTGGGCGACTACGGTGGGCTGGGCACGACGTAAGAATGCCGCACGACGACCCAGTGAAAATGGTTCTAGAAAGCGACCCAACAGGAACAAGAAGAAGAGGCGCGCAGCGGGCAAGGTGGATCGACCAAGTAGAAGGTGACCTGCGGACCCTTCGCAGACTACGAGGCTGGCGAACTGTGGCCATGGATCGAGAAGAGAGGACAACAAGGCCTTAGCCTGATTGGTAAGGTAAGGTAAGATGAAAACTTATTGATAACATTTTTCGCTTTTGAATCTTGATATCAACCAATAGAATTCAAAACATTAAGATTACTAAATTAGATATCCAAAGAATAACTAATTTCTTTTTTTTTATCCTACTATAGTGATAATAACATATTGATTACTTATTTTGTTTATTATTAACGATGGCAAATATCAAAACGCAAACTTGGATCAAGAAAACATGATTTGCTATCTTTTAATATCCTTCATATACCATCATTTAGATCTAATTTTTGTTATGATTACTGTTAACTCGACCACAAGGTAGGCAAAATGTGTTATCACGAACGCTTATATCAAAATATCAAATTTAGTTTTCATTCTCTGCTCGGGTAACGTCCATTCTGGCACTCGTCCGTATGGTAAACGTATTTATAGCTAATGGGGTGTCATCGGTGCTGGCACGGTAACAGAACAAATTTACAATCATCGTTGTTTCGACTCACTTCGCCATAGCAAATGTTTTTTTTTTTTTCGGATCTATGACATCACTAGATGTTATGATGATATTTTGATACTAGTATGTTACAAGAATAGGTTGTTAAGTATGTGTTTGACACATGAAACTTGTCATTTTCGTTTTCATAGAGTCACAATGAGTGATTTTATGACACTCTAAATGAGCGCTCACGAATCATAAAATCACTCATTGTGACTCTTTGAAAAGCAAAATTGACAGGTTTTATGTATCAAACACATACATTTTACAGTCTGTTTTTGGAGTTAACAAAAGTACAAAACTCCATTACAACATTTAATAATTTCATAATTCCGAAAAAAAAAACCTTTTTTACAGCGAAGAGGGTCGTTACAATAAGTCAAATTTGTATGAAAATTGGCCTGCGGTGATCGAACGCAGTTGTAGGGTAAGTGAGCCAGTTGTGGCACTAGTGCTCCAGTATTTGGTCCGAGGGCCTAAGTGAAATTTGAAGTAACTTATCATGGTATTATTCGCGTAGATATAAGCCTAAATCTATGTTTTATGGAAACAAATTTGGTGCTGAAAAAAAAATATAGGCCTCTAAGGTAACCTTCGGGACCAAAAACTATCTCACTTACCCTATTTTCAACCTTTAGGGTAGGGCTTTCTTCAAGACGCTAAAAAAGAAAACAAAAACAAAGGGGGATGCACAATTCTGCAACCTATTTTCAAAAAAATTTCGTAAACGAACGATCAGAACAGTTTAGCGATAAATCCCTCCAATCAATTCTCGGTAAATTTTGTATAGTTTTGTGGGCGCACATTTATCATTTTGCATAAAAAAAAAACGGGGCGTTTCTGTGGTTGAAAAAAAAAAGTGCATTCCCTAACACAGATTTCAGTACCTAGCACTGACACAACCGGACGGTACCTCTATTTATGCTTTTAAATTCGAATTGTAAGTCCCTCCTTTTTAGCATACTCGAAACGAAACATGATTAGAAAAAGCAGTATTTCTCAATTACTTTTTCGAAGAGACGTATCAGCTTTTGTAAACAATGCATTTGATAGTGGATTTTGTCGTAACTGGTAGCTCGCCCACGCATACTAACACCACTATCAGGTAGGGGCAAATTTCCTCTCTCTGGTGGTAGTGCAGTCACGCCAAATCGACGATCAAATTGTCTACCAAATCTGATACGTCCCTTCGATAAAGAAATCGAGATTTAGTCATTTTTTTTTTTGCTCAATCGGTAGATAAAAGATGTTCCCGCTAAAATGTTCTGTTCGCGATCAATTGCAAAACTTCGCCAAAAATAGGTACGGAATTGTGTACCCCATTTTTTTTGCTAGCGTCCTGAAAAAAGCCCTACCGTAATAGCCTGTAATAATGAAATACATAAAATTGCTATAATTCGTTAAATTTGACACTACTACAGGAATATAAACTATAAAAGCCGGCTTCCTATCAAAACGAGATAGGTCTAGTTGCCCGATTCCGCGCCATGTTGAAACATTCTGCTGACTGTGTGAAAATGTTGGCAAGACTGAAAATTGCTCTCTCATCTTATTTTTGTATTCATCCATTTGTAAACATTGTACCGCCGTTTTCAAAAGGAGTTTATCGGTTTTATCCAATTGCAGTTTTATAACTTTGTTTTGTTTTTTGTGAGTGTTCATTGCAACATGGCGACAGCCTAGTAAATCTTCATCAGGGTTCGACTTTGTGTCCAATAAGGTATGACAAGTTGATTGCCTTAAAAATCCGTTGGTTTTACCAACTTGAACTTTAATGTTCGATTCCCGGATAGCAACAACGAATAGGAATTGTCTCGATTTTTGCTCGCTTCCTTTGAGTTTATTGTAAAAAAAAACTATTCATCTACTGAAGAAAAAAAAACTTTATATTGAAGACCGTTGAGATGATTTTATATTCGATTATCATTAACATTTGTCACTTCGAGAGAGATAAAAAAAAAAAGTTGTTCGCCATTTCACAACTGAGACAAACTAATGAGACTAGAAGGTAAATACGTTGTAAAATATAACCTTAATGCATTGTTTCTGATAACTCAACTTTGTAGATTTTCAAGAGACGATTATTAAAGGCCTTCTTGTGATATTCTGTTTTGTGTTCTCCATTTCTTCCGCGACGCTCATGATAAGTGTGTGGTGTGTTCATTTCTCAACTATAAATAATAATCAGACAACTCGATGGTTACGCATACGATTCTTCATTATTACTTTACACGTACTTATACAAAAAAAAAAAACACACATTGGAAAAAATATGTACATTAACTAAAGCGAAATCAAATTAAAAAAAAAAAAATCAAAAGCTCAGATCAGATTATTGCGATGAATCAAGAAGGGGAAATACGATACCTACTATTATAATCAGTTCAATATACGCAGCCGATGCAGGATTTTTCTTTTTGTTGTCTTGATACCAGGCTTCCTGATGGGTGATGGGACACATCCAATGTTATTCTTTATTTCTGTGCTAGTGTAGGATTACGCTTACTATTTTTTTTTGTTTGACTTCCTATAACTATTAGTTTGCTGATTTTATTTTATTTTATTTTGTTTATTCATAATCCTTCCTTACATCATACAACTTCCTAAAACTGGATGATAATGTTGCATATTATCATGCAATAAATGTAATGAGAATAGCAATGCCATTCTTGTAAAGTCGATAGATTTAAAAAGAAAGAGAAAGGAAATTTCATCACTACGCTCGTAAACTTTCCAGTAAATTTTCAATACGGCTACGTGGATTTTTGCTATCTGCTTCATACTGTGCTGACACCGTCTCACGATTATTCAGTTTCATTCTGTTTTGCTTTTGCGTTTGCTGTTGTCTTTCTCGGGATACTTTTGCATCTTTTTTTTTTTCTATATGCGCTTTGCAGCATGCTGGTTTGTGAAGTTTTGAACTGATTTCTTTTCTGTTTTGTTGAACGTTTTCCAATCCACCTTTTTTTTTGGGGGGGGGGGAGGGTTTATACTAGTTTGCTCCCAGTAGCAATTTGTTTGCCGTTTACTGTGCTTTCTTGTCGGACTTTTCTCACACACTCTCACACACTTTCTTTGCAATTTTTGCTTGGTTATTCTCGATCTCTCTTTGAAATTATTTCATCTGCGTTTTGGTTTTTGTTCTTCTAATAATAACCACCATGAGCGTACTGATCGGTCTTTGCGTAGCCTTGCGAGTAGGCTTGCGCGTCTATAAAATACATTCGAAATGGGAATATGTTATTGGTTGAGGTTGTCTTCTCGCGATGTGCGATTTTGCTTACAGACTAAAGATAGCGTCAATAAATACTTAAATAAATAAAAAAATAATAATAACAGTAAAAGGAACGACGTTTTTGCTTATTGTTTGGTTGTTTTTTTTTCATTTTTTTTTTGCTTTTCTAGTTAAGCAATATTTGTTTGTACTTGGTACATACTTTAAACTTCAACAGAAACGCGACGGAACGGAAGCAAAATTAAGGAGGCATGTTGTTGTAAAACCGAATAGAAATCAAATGAACAAGATTTAGTACTCACCGTAACCAGCGTAGCCTCCTGATCGGTCATCGTACTGCTGGCTGGGATAGGTTTCCGTCGAGACGGCACTGTAATCAGTGGTGGCGCCGTACGATTGGCTATAGTCCTGCGAATATCCGGTCTGATACCGGCTGTCGTACGTGCCAGTGCTGGATAATGGACAACGGGAAAAAAATGTCATTTTCGAACAGTAGCAATCGCAATACAAACTATTTGTTATCATCCAAGGAACACACACACCGTTTGTTGATTGTAGAAGGCAGTAAAAAGGGTTGTTCATAAACTACGTAAACCGGTTTTGAGAGGTTCAAATTCCTCTCACCACGCGTAGACAATCGACCATACAGTTTTTTTTTTAATTTGTATGGACTCGACGTATACTCGACAAGCCCCTTAAAATTGCTATTATGCCGTTCGCCATAACAGCATGGTGACCAACAATTTCCGATTTGCAGTTTTCCGATATACATTTTAATTAAGCATAAAATCGAATACGATTGAGCCAAAGAGATCACTAGGTTAAATGGATCATTATTAAAACAGTAGCATTTTTCCTGGATGTTGAATTCGGTTTTACGGTCGAGGTTTTCAAAACGTGTCTATGTTTAAGTGCTTTGAAAATTCGCTCAAAACTCTACACCGGAAATGAAGCTAATTCTCGATGAACATTTCAAATGGTCCTATCTGCTTTGATCGATTCTCTTCATCGACTTTCTCTTTTCATAACCACTGCTATGCAAACAGATTTCGCGCTAATTCTACCACATAGTTTGATAAAGGAAGTTCTTATCTAGCGTCCAAAACGTCAAATACAACAGGGAAAGGTTTTGCAGCTGAGTTATTGACGAAAGAGAAAATCGATGAAGAGAATCGATCAAAGCAGATAGGACCATTTGAAATGTTCATCGATAATTCATAGTTGAGTCCCGTTCACTCAAATTCACAAAAGCGTATGTTATCCATAGAATGAGTAAAATAAATGTCGCCCATATTTGGATGGATTCTGCGACAATACCTGGAAAACTATTCACCAGAAGTCAATTTCCCGGTCGACCACTTGCCGGAATATTATTACCCGGAATGTACCATTTCCTGGAAAATGATGTACTGGAAACCTGAACAACCCTGTTGTTCATGAAAATTCATTGACATCTTTGCTGACTGGTGTAGTCTAAACCGACTGGTGGTCAACCCAGCTAAGTGTACCGCGCAAGAAACAACCGATTATTTTCAACTACAAACTACTAGGCACGACTATCGAACGGGTACATTGCATGACATGAAAGAGGCGTTTTTCTGGACTCAAAGCTGACATACTCTCACCATGTATCGTATGTCGTCGACATAGCGTCCAGAACTCTTGGCTTTGTCTTCAAGATTACTAAGAACTTCACAGACATTTACTGTTTGACATCGCTTCATTGCTCTCTCGTACGATCTACGTTGGAATACTGCTCTGCAGTCTGGAGCCCGAACTACAATGATGGGGCCGAGCGAATGCAATCTGTGCAACGACGTTTTCTTTGCTTCGCGCTCCCGTGAGCTGCCTTGGAGATACCCACTTAATCTTCCAAGCTACGAGAATCGCTGCCGATTGATCAATGTCGAGCCCTTACGTATAACATCTCTTCAGAGCCTTAACCGTCGCCGATACTCTGCAAGAAAGCTTCGACTGCGAAGCAATTCTGCATCAAGTGAACATTAATGTTCAACCTCGATCACTACGCACTCAGTCTTATGCTGAGACTTCCACTTCTTCGAACTAATTATAGCTTGGGGAGCGCTATTTACGGCTTGCAGCGAGTGTTCAACCGAGTAGCGTCGATGTTCGATTTCCACTTGACACGGAATATGCTTCGCCGAAGATTCTCTGCCTAAGTGTAAAATTTTAGACCTATACATTTTTAGTAACTTGACAATGCTCAGATAAGACATAATCAACAATAGTACGCCACAATACTCGGTTTGCGGCTGCCGCTCTCCACCCTCGGCCATACCCAATGCTCGCTAGATCACGCTCTACCTGGTCCGCCCATCGTGCTCTCTGCGCTCCACGCCTTCTTGTGCCAACCGGATCAGTAGCGAACACCAACTTTGCAGGGTTGTTGTCCGGCATTCTTGCAACAAGCCCTGCCCATCGCATCCTTCCGGCTTTGGCCACCTTCTGGATGCAGGGTTCGCCGTAGAGTGCAGCGAGCTCGTGGTTCATTCTTCGCCGCCACACACCGTTCTCCTGCACACCACCGAAGATCGTCCTTAGCACACGTCGCTCGAAAACTCCGAGTGCTTGCAGGTCCTCCTCGAGCATAGTCCATCTATGCTCGAGTGCTATGTGAATCTTTTTTGACTGTAGTAGGCACGACTTCCACTGATGATGCGCCATCGTATTTCACGACTCACATTGTTGTCAGCCGTCAGTAAGGATCCAAGGTAAACGAATTCCTCCACTACCTCGAAACATTACTTCCTAGACGAATCCTGTCATGTTCGGTTCCGCCTACTAGCATGTACTTTGTTTTTGACGCACTCACCACCAGTCCGACCTTTGCTGGTTCGTGTTTCAGGAGGGTGTATAGTTCGGACACCGTTCCAAATGTTTTTGCGATAATGTCCATGTCGTCCGCAAAGCACACAAATTTACCGGTTTTCGTGAAAATCGTACCCCGGCTGTTGAACCCGGCTCGCCGCATTACACCTTCTAGAGCGATGTTGAAGAGTAGGCATGAGAGTCCGTCACCTTGTCGCAGTTCCCGGTGAGATTCGAATGAACTGGATAGTTCACCCGAAACCCTTACGCAGTTTTGCACACCGTCCATCGTTGCTTTGATCAGTCTGATCAGCTTACCAGGAAAGCCGCTCTCGTCCATGATTTTCCATAGCTCTGTGCGGTCGATACTGTCGTATGCCGCCTTAAAGTCGATGAACAAATGATGCGTTGGGACCTGGTATTCACAGCATTTCTGGAGGATTTGCCTTACGGTGAAGATCTGGTCCGTTGTCGATCGGCCGTCGATGAAGCCGGCTTGATAACTTCCCACGAACTCGGTCATTTTTGGTGATAGACGACGGAAGATGATCTGGGATAGCATTCAAAATGGTCGCCTTTATTGTTAATTGGGTAGATTACTCCCTCCTTCCACTCCTCCGGTAGTTGTTCTGTTTCCCAGATCCTGACTACTATCCGGTGCAGACAGGTGGCCAACTTTTCTGGGCCCATCTTGATGAGTTCGGCTGCGATACCATCCTTACCAGTTGCTTTGTTGTTTTTGAGCTGCTGAATGGCATCCTTAACTTCCCTCAGCGTGGGAATTGGGTCAGTTCCGTCCTCTGCTGCACTGACGTAGTCGTTTCCTCCATTGCGCTGGTCTCCCGTGCCTGTAGTATGTGTAGTCTGTATAATCTGTACTTTTTTTACAACACATCATTGGGACTATTTCTAGTCTGTTGATGCAAACATAACAAATAATGAGTAGGGTTAGTGATACTATTTATTTATTTATTTGGTTCTACATCAACAGACTGGGTTTAGTGCTAAAGATGGATTAAGCAATACTAGGAAATACAATATAGTCGAGCTGCACAGGCCGTGAAGTCCAACTTAATTCCCAATTCTTAAAAACATATCACGGAATCTCTAACGCAGCGTCTCGCGTGCCAAGTAGAAATCAAATAAGGAAGCAACACGATTGAAAACCCTTTGTAGCCCATTGATAGCACCATACGAACTATAGTTTGTACGACGAAAAGGTATCCTCAGCACACGTGGTTGAACGTTAACGTCGATTTGTTGTAGAATAGAAGGACAATCGATCTGCCCTGTTGAATGTCTGCCACAAACAGGGCCCTTGTCGTATCTCTTCGACTCCACAAAGAATCCAGGTGAATACTGGCTGGCACCGACTTTCGTAGCTTGGAAGGCGATGAGGATCCCTCCAAGGCAATCGTCGAAGGGCAAACCAGATGAATCGTCGTTGAATAGACTCTACTCTACGATTGAATAGACTCTACGAGGGAGCAGTAAAGCGACTTCAAACAGCAGATGTCCGTGAAACCTTTAGCTATCCTGAAAATGAAGCCGAGCCTTCTGGATGCCTTGTCGATCACGTACGAGATATGCTGGCTGTATGTGAGTTGACAATCGAAGATGACTCCTAGATCCTTAATGTGATTCACACGATGTACGTCAACGCCTTCTAGGATATAACTGAATGTAATTGGATGTTTCTTCCGTGAGAACGTGATTACTGAACATTTTGTTGGATTTACAACCATGCGGTTCAGTTGGCACCAATTAGCAAAAGCGTTGAGTTGGAGTTGGAGAAGGTGGCAGTCAGCGATGGCTCGGATTCGGAGATAGATTTTCATGTCGTCTGCGAACGACAGTCGTGGACCGTCGAGGACGAAATTGACATCGTTGAAATACACAAGAAATATCAACGGGCCGAGGTGGCTACCTTGCGGAATACCCGAAGGAGATCGGCAGTCGTCGATTGCAACTTCCAACTGACATCGTATGAGACTGCCGTTTATACCGAGCCTATCCAGTTTGGCGATCGCTATAGGATGGTTCAACTAGTCGAAGTCGGCTGTAGATGACATCTGTTTGCATATGGTCTGTCATACTCTCCATAATGTACGAGGTGAGACACAGAAGGTTGGAAGTAGTCGACCACCCTGCCATGAAACCAGGCTGGTCTTCGCTCAAGTGCTGCTTGAAGTGAGAGACTAATGGTTCCATAACGATCAACTCGAACAGTTTAGATATGGCACACAACGATAGTTGTCGATGTTTCTGTTGCATCCCTTCTTATGCACTGGAAACATCTCAGCTGATTTCCAGCAGGAAGGAAACACCCCACTGGAGAGGGACATTTCGAACAGAAATGTATGTTTGTTCTGGCACCGTTTAGGGCAAAATAGTGAGCTTTTCATGAACATTAACGGCAAATAACTCAAGAACATTAGCGGACTGTGAGTTCCAGCCCACCTGTGATTATGCGCCTTTCCTAAAGTAATGAGTTTAGTTCAGAATTCACACATCAGGTGAATTGTTTGCCCTTACTTAACATCTTGACTAGAGAGAAGGTTCCTATCTTTGGCAAAGTTTTTCAGATGAACAAGAACTATTTTATGGTAAAGAGTTTAGCTCAAACTGATCTCTCCAGGCGGCGCTAGTGTGATATTCAATTTGCATTGTTTGCCCTAACATAACATATGAACTAGATAGAAGGTTTCCGTCTTCGGTAAAGTTGTTGAGATGGACAAGACCATAAGTTAGGTCTTGTCCATCTCAAAGATTTTCATTCATAATTCACTCACCAGGTAGCGCTAGTTAGGACCTTCTTAATTAATTTAAATGCTAGTGTAAAAGCCCAAAAATCATAAACATAGCTGCGCATACCTTCACGGAATACCATTTCTTATCAGAAAAATTGTCATTAATGGAAATCAAGCTGAACAATACATTAGGTCCTAAGTAACATTGACAGATTATGTTCGTCGCCTTTCTCTTTGCATCCTCTCACGGCCACAGTTGTTGAATATAATTGATCGATGTTACTTAGGACCTAATGCATTGTTCAGCTTGAAATGTTAGTGATTCAAACAACCATCAGTGAAATCAACTGTTTCATCACCCATGTAATGTACGTAGGACTCACAAACTACCAGCCACAAATTGCTCGCAGACCAAACATTACCTATATTCTACAATCAACAGAAGGTGCACTTCGATAACAATGAACAGACACACAACATTCCTCTTCACCTACCTGTAATCGTAATGACTGGTGTCATATTCTGTTCCAGTCGCGTAACCCGTCGAGGCCATCGTCGCGCTTCCGTATGTGCTCTGACCGTACCCGTTGGTGCCGTAGCCACTTTGGGATGCACTGGTCGTGCCGTAGCCACCGGTGCTGGCCGTTCCATGTGTGCCGTACTGGTCCATGCTGGCAGGCGGGTGATTGTGCTCCGGATAGCCTCCGTGGCCAGCCATCGAGGGCGGTGCACTGTACGACGAAACGGGCGCCGGAGCACTATGATGTGGCGGCATGCTCTTCGGCGGTAAGGAACGACTTGGTGGCCCCGAATCATAACGGCCTCGTTTTGGTCCGGGGGGACCGCTTCCGGGCATTCCACCGCGCTTGATCGGTGTCACCGTGGTTGTGTTTGAAGGTTGCCGGGTGTCGAACTGCTGTCGTGGAGGTGGACCTGGGTTATACCCACTGTGCTGGTAACCGCCCATTTGACCGTACGACGGGGGAGGCCCACTATTATAACCACTGTTATAGCTGGGCGGACCTCCGTAACCACCTGGACCACCGTAGCCGCCGCGGCCCCGACCGCCCATTCCTCCACGGTATGGCCTAGGACCATCGTAACCGCCTCCGTAGCCACCACGTCCGCGTCCTGTGCCACGTGGTGGGTAGCTTCCGCGACCACGGAATCCCATTCCTCGCGAGGAATACGAAGAATACGAGCTACCTGTCGATTGAATTGAAGAATCTTGCGATTCTCTGGGATGGGAAAGACTACTAGAATCGGCTGTCTTGATCGGTTGCGGAGGTGTTGCCCGGCCCGAATCTGAGCTAGGAACCTGTGACGATGCTGAGGCACCGGTTTTCGGTGCCGTTGACGGTGCTGCCGAGCTCGACGTCGAAGTCGGTGTGCTTCCGCTGGTCGTCGGTACCGTTTTGGCTGCGCTAGTGGTATCTGCCGTTTTGAGATCATTTCCATTTTCGGTCGTCGACGAAGGCGGCGGACCGGACCCGTTCGATACGGACGATGAATAGCTGCTGCGTGGAGCACCACCGACTCCCATCGGTGGACGACCTCCGTATGGGCCACCTCGGGACATCGGAGGACCACCTCTCGGTGGGCCACCCATACCACGGGGTGGACCGCCACGCATCATGCCACCACGTCCCCGCATCATCGGTGGACCACCCATCATGCGACCCATCATCGGACCGCCACGACCTCCGCGGCCTCTGTGAGATTGAGAGATTCAAGGGGAGGGGGAGAAATGCTTTTAGCTAACCCGATTCGACGCTAATGTACTGAATGCATGCTTGTGTATTAAAAAAAAAATGTGGAACTGTGTGCAATGGCATGCAACTAATTTGCAGCGATTTCTAGAAATCTGGCTCAAGCTAGGTGTGAGGATCAAATCAATTGGTTTACATACCAATGCTAAAATGTCGTTAAAAAAGCACACCAGATTCTTAAATGGTATCTGCTTTCATTCTAGATTTCAATGTTTAAATAGTAAAGTTTAACATTTTTAGATAGAGCTGGAATTAGGGCGCAACAGCTTTTGTAAACAATTACTTCTATCGATGATTTCTAGGAATTCAAGGCACGTCCACGCAGACCAACCTCACCATGGGATAGGGGAAGTCTTCCCCTACCCGATGAGGATGTTGGTTTGCGTGGGCGAGTCTTGAATTTCTAGAAATCATCAAGAGAAGTCATTGTTTACAAAAGCTGTTAGGCCCTAATTCCAGCTCTATCTAGATTTGGTCTGGAAAAGATTTTGTTGTTTTAAAAATGAAAATAGAAAGTCTCAAAAACTTAACTGAAATTGGAAATGGTTTAGCAGAAAATAATGGCGGTAAGTAAACTAAAAGACACTATTCGAGTACTTTTTCAAAAGGACCAATGTAACATTTCCGGCCTATTGAGAAAAGCTAAGTTGAAGTTCGACAGATTATTTTTTAGCAGGAACGTACTTTTTCTCAATTACATAATTAATAAGTGTTACATTGGACGTTTTGTTCTACATCATTTAGATTTCCTATCACAGACTTCAGAATAGAGTACCTAACACCGGAAAATGACTTGGTACCTGCTACTTATAATCTTAGATTGATTTTCCATGCCTCGCCTTTAGAAAAATTAATGCTAGGCAGACAAGTGATGTCCGAAGTAACAAGCAAGCACCCATCATTCTTAACTGTTCATTGGATAATTTTTCACCTATGATTATCGTAAATAAATGATAGAAAATTTAAATGGGTCAAAGACAAAGACTGTAACACATACAATGTTAGAAGAGCAATAGTTTGCATCAATTAACTCGATTTGTATACATTTGTATCATAGGACCTTTTGAAAAAATACTCGAGAAATCAATCATCAACAATAACTTCAGTAAATCAATGAGCCAAATCGAACCGGTTGTTAATTTAACATTATGTGCACTAATCCTATGTTCAGACTACAGAGTTATAACATGTTATAAGCCTTGAAGACAGTTTTTTGTTGTTGTTAATTATAACACTCTGTAGTCTGAACAAGGAATAAAATGGAAAAATGTACTTAGTTGTGATCACAGAAATGCGAAAAAAAAATGAAAGCAGATACGACTTTTAAAGAATGTTAGTTCTAGAACCACGGTTATAAGGTTCAACCAGTCGAAGTAAATAATTTACTATCACTAATACATTTTTTTTCCCTACAGTATAACTTATCTATTAACAAAGTAAACTTGGTCCTACAAACATCGGAAATCTTTTTCAAATTACAATATTTCAAAACCCGAACAAATCAATTTATTACACCTCATCAATCACTATACAAATTTAACTCTGATTTGGTAGTGCATATGTAAATAGTTTATTTATCCTAATCATTTAATACTTTTAACCTCAATGACGACGGCTACGAGCTAACAATTTTGATCAATGTTACGGAATTTCTTGTCAAATTTCTTCAAATATATTATAAGCTAATGGCGGCGAAGAAGTGTTGTTATCAAATTATTGTCTTGAATTAGTTCGATTGATGAGTACGCATTCAATTAAAAACTGTTTTGATATTTTTACATTTTATAAATAATTTGTGGCTCCAACATATCAGAAATCATGTGAAGTTGAAACTAGATAATATACCGCAACATTTAATTTGCATGCTTGAAACTAATAAATACGTTATTAAAACATTTGAAACATTAGTTTTAAAATAACTTCATACTGGAAACCGTCTAACAAATCATTTACGCTTGAATCATCCACGCATATCTTTATTGAGTGCCCGCATAAACGCGAACCATAAATTGACCTTACCTAAAATGGTTAAAAATTGTTTATAATCCCTGCTAAACTTTAACTGAAATGGTTATGGAACTTTACATGAACGTTTAATGATAAAGTTTCAACCTTATGTATTATGGTTTTTTGGAACTGGACCTTACAAATAATGGGTTGTTAAGAACCATTACCATTCCAAATTCTTGTTTTCTCCATACATTTTCAGAAAGAGAACTATATAAGAACGTTTTTACTTATGATTTCAGAACATTAATGGTAATGGTTATGGTAGTCAGTAAGGTCCATTAATGGTTTTGTACTATCGCTCAACTTTACGTGGAATATATCGTGAATTGGTAATCAGTAAATTACAGGCAACCAATTCGCGATATATTCCACATAAAGTTGATCGATGTTACAAAACCATTCGTGGACCTTACTGACTACCATAACCATTACCATTAAAGTTCTCAAACCATAAGCTAAAAGGTTCTAATATAGTTCTCTTTCCGAAAATGTATGGAGAAAACAAGAATTTGGAACGGTAATGGTTCTTAACAACCCATTATTTGTAAGGTCCAGTTCCAAAAAACCATAATACATAAGGTTGAAACTTTATCATTAAACGTTCATGTAAAGTTCCATAACCATTTCAGTTAAAGTTTAGCAGGGATTATAAACAATTTTTAACCATTTTAGGTAAGGTCAATTTATGGTTCGCGTTTATGCGGGTGTATAGACTTTTGGGATACTTTAATCAACAAGCATGACTGCTAATTGTAACATTAGTAGTGATTTACTATTAATATCATCCTGAATGTACATACAACACATTCCCTAGTATACATTATTCGCAAACAAAAATTCTATTTTTTTCAAAAACTATTTTCCATTCGAGGATACACTCAATGGTTAGTTTTGCTACTGGTCGGTTCAGTACTCTAGTCGCCATTCGTGAATCACCCCCCGGAGTTCGTCTAAACAAAATCACAACACAACTACATAAACACCCACCGCAACCGGCATCACCCACACCATCGCATTTCACCAATACTACGCGACACTACTACAGGCAAAACAAAACGGAAACTATCATCGTGTACTCACCGGCCTCGATCCCCAAATCCGCCACGACCGCGATCGCCAAATCCTCCGCGACCGCGGAATCCACCTCTCGGGGGTCCTGACATATCCATTTTACTGAACGAAATTTAATAAGCCTCTCTCACCGGTCACAATCCCCAATCTGCGAACAATCCGAAAAACAAACGAAAATCTATCAATCTTGCGGTCATTTCACCAACACCAAATAAAAACTGTTCAGTCTCAATAATATGCATGTGCTCGTGAAGTAAAAAAAAAAAAAAAACGAAGCCCTCTTCCGGAGCGCCACCCGGCAGCAGCGCTAGCAAAATTCAATTTTCCGCACACCTTCGGAGTTGAATATTTCAATTCTCGGAAAAACCCAATAAATCTAGCACTATTCACCTCGCAAACACTACACCCGGATAGTACGGATCGATACGCTTCGATTGGAACTACTTTTGCCGGTCGCGACGTCGTTTAGATGCAGTTAATTCCGATCGAACGACACACTAATGTCGGGCCGAGCTGATTCTGGCTGGGAAAACTCTTCACTTTACAACAGGCAAAATGGCGACCTTCGTTTGACTGCGATGCCCGATGCGCTTCTGCGGCTGCGGCGCTGCTGTCAGACGGCGGTTTGACAGAACGGTCTGCCGTTTATGTATATATAAATAGGTAAATATTTGAATCGATGATGAGGGAGGACGAAACGGTCGTGCGTGCGAATGAGATGGGATGATACCGGTTTAGCGGTGCGGAGCGAAAAGACTATACTGATAGTTTGATGCTAAGAGGGTTTGATGCTGTTTAATGAATGAAAACGGTTCTTTCGCTACGCAGGTAGGCTCAAAGCCGTTGGCGGTGCTTCGGGCAAGAAAGTTTCTAAAAAAAATGAATTATTATAATAATTGACGAATCCATCCAAGTTTCAATCGACCATCGTGACGCTGCAATCGCAGGGGTGTTAAGTCCGAAATAATGTATTGTGTCAAACTGAATACATTTTTGAAATTTCAACAAAGAAACTATTCTTGCTTGTTGTTTGACATCCACACATGATGAAACAAAAAGTTGCCTTCCCATAGAGAAATACCGTTGCTGCGGTGAAGGGCAGCCCCTTTGTTTACGTTGTGTGGCGACATCTACTATTTGCAAGTGGGTACGTGAAACTAAGATTATCTGTCACCTTGCCGGGGACTTGGGAAAAACCAATAACCCCTCATTTTATCTGTCAAACTTTCATAGCGAAGCAAAACAAACATTGCGTAGTACTAGAATTTCGACTAGAATGGGGTACGTTAATCGTTTGCTTGGGACCAATAGACTAGTCAAGTAGTGAGCCAGTTTAAAATCGCTATTTTTCCTCCTATTGAACATCTGGCCGTGTTCCCATTTGTTCTCAGGCAGGTAATATTGGTACATGAGAGGAAGAAAGAAATAAAATAAGTTAAGTGTGAGCCGCATGCGTTGGGTAGTTGTTTGGGTCATGGTGTTGTGTTCCCTATTTTATTTGCCTCTATTCAGCTCTCAGATCCCCACCTCCACCGAACTATTGTGGATGAAAAAGAGAACCCATATTTTGTAACCTCTCGCGAGCTGCATTGCAAAAGATATTAATAACAAACTAATCTAGAACTGGGCTTAAACATATAACATTTTCTAAGACTGATCATGATTAATATAGTATGAATAATGAAGAAAAGACGATCCCGAAAGAACGTTCCCTAGCAATAAAACTATTACTGTATGCTAATCTGATTTTAAAATGGTAATCCACAAACAACATGCTCAGAAACTATACCCGATCTCAACCAACTCTACCGAAATCAGAACAGCTGAAGATTTTGGCATTTCTTTTTAATTCTGTTAAGTTACTTTATATCGAGCTCTTTTCTAGAATTGCAACCGATCAAAGAAATGCTCAACCAAACTATGGAATAACCAGATACTACGATAATATTCTGCCCGTGCAAGCAACAAGAAAAAACTGTGAAGCTCGTGCCCAGGGGTTGAAACAGTTGACGTTTTTTACTACACTCGCTTCGATGTCGTGCGCGACAGTCTGTTTGTATTCGAACACTCATGCTCTACCGTCGTCTCTCTCACACAACACGAGCGGTAGAATAACATTCGAGCTAAAAGAAAATTATCAAAATAGCTATCATATGACATGTGTGATTTCGTTGTAATTCCTCAATTTGGTGTAAATCAAACCATTTCTGATTAGAAATATTATTACTAGGACATCATTGCTTGCTATTTTCAGAATTCACACAAGCACACCATCAGCAGCTCTTATTATGGGAAAACTAAAATACATACATTCGTGACAGTCTTCGGCGACAGTGTCGTACGACAGAGCCTGTCATACGACATTGTAGTTTGGTACTGTACTATGATAGCTTGTTTTGCGAGTGTCGGAGGCAAAGGCAGTCAATTATCACAGAAAATGTGTCGACTACCGTGACCGCTTACAAGACTGCTCGTGCCCGACACATATCACCCGCCAACACATGCGAGCAGGCTTGATGGAGCCTCGCTCGCGAGTTTGAAATGAGCCGAGCGTAGCATTTTTCTGAGGAGTAGAATGCCTACTGCCAAATCATTTCACTGAGCCTCAGAGCTTGTGAGCGAAGGGGGATACAATGAGAGTTAGGTTTGCTGCCATTGATGTTCATGTTTTCTATCACACGCTCTTACTCTCACTCTGGGTGAACTCTGAGCTTTTTGCGTCGAACAAAAAAGTCATCCGGAGTCTCGAAAAGCGCACCTCACGTCAAATCATCCTCTCGCTGAAGTTCACTCTTCCTCTCTCTCTCGAAGAGTTTTTTTTTTTTACTTTTTCCTTATGCCTGTCGTCACTCACTCGACGTGAGAGCTGGCTAAACTCACAGGACAAGCGTGTTTTAAAACCTCCAGTGAGTTTGAGGAGTTTCAGCAAGCCTGCATGAGAGTCGCAATAGGCGATTTTTCATTAAGCTCACCCTCTCTTCGCAAAGAGGCGATCAAGAAATCGCTCGTTAAGACTCTGTCAAAGCTAAATTTGCAGGTCTCACGTGTCAAACACAAACCTCATAACAGAACAGAAGTGGAACTTCGGATCAGGAAGTGGCTCCACTCTTCATTGGCGAACACTAGCGCATCTAGCGGTAGAAGGCATCTTTTGCCTGCAGTTAAGACAGGCAGCATGCTATGATAGTGTGAGTGCACATAGAAGCCCGTGTGGAACGCTACCACAACGCGTCGCTTGTTGAGCAGAAAAACGAACCACTTTTTGATTCGCCGATTTGTTTGCACTTCCCCTTACGTTCTGTGATGATATTCTATCACTTCACAATTCCACAAAACATTCCTTTAGCCGAAATGAATGGAAGACACCCTGATTGCAACATGTGAATAATGCCGAACAAGTTTAAAACATTTCTACACGGATAGAAATCTCCTTATACCTTTTGGCAAATTTCTATTGGTGATTATTCATAAAATGTATAAGTCAACTAATAAGCAGACGCCTTGCAAAAAGTTAATGAAGATCATGTGTCAAATGAAATGTATAAGCGGTTACACATACCTTTTATGCATTCTTAAGGCCCACGTACATTAGATCCGGATCGGACGCGTTGCGGCAAAGTGACAGCTAAATCTATTGTTCAACTGCCAAATTTACGTCAACGCAACGCAAACGGATCTAATGTGGGTGCCCCTTTATAGGACCTATGTGGTTTGTCTTATGGAATGTATAAGAATAGAGGTAACTCTAAGACTATTAGGTCCCGAAGAAACGTGCTCAACTTTTTGGCTCAGCTCTTGTGCTCCCTTGTTCCCAAGCTAATCGATTCACCCCTCGAAAAATAGGAAAATTAACTAACCCCTCATTTTACCTTTTAAACTTTCATAGCGAATCAAAACAAACATTGTGTAGTACTAGAACTTCGACTAGAATGGGGTAAGTTAATCGTTTACTTGGGACCAATAGGCTAGTCAAGTAGTGAGCCAATTTAAAATCGTTAGTTTCGTATTGATTGTTGGTATAAGGCTGATGTTTTGGCAAAAATGTATAAGTGAAACGCATGAATAAAATAATTGATTTTCGTTTCGTGTAGAGCCAAATTGGTTTTGAAAGGAAGGTTAAACCACAGACAAACAGACATAACACATTGAATATTTCTCACTGTAAAACATCGTCGCTAAAACATTACCGCCATCTGTTGAGTACACTGTGGTGGGTAGTACGCTGAACAGATGGTGATAGTGTATAAACGTCAAACGCAAGGGAACTGACTATGCGCGCCACAGGTGGCGGTACTACCAACTACGATACTTTTAAATTGACCGTTAAATGCTTGTTCGATGAACAACTTGCGAGTGTTATGTCTGTTTGTCTGTGGTTAAACTACCACCGAATAGCTCAGCCGCTCTGAAACCTTCAAGTGTGAACATTATGCTTTCCTTAAGCGGTCCCTCCGCATTCTGCCTCTGTTAACCCAAAAACCTGAAACTGATTCAAAAAATATAATATAGAGAGTATAAAATAAAATATCCATTCAGACATCATTAGACCCTAACGCACTTACTTGGCCAAACTTCAGCATCAACCGGAGGGCAGTGCACTCTACACTCCAAGTTCCCTGTGTTTCAAATTCATCTTAAATTTCATACTTTACCCATTGGGCTTTACATTTCCCGTGCTTTTCTTACGGGAAAAGTAAAGTAAACGATTTTATTCATACGACCTATTGAGTGTTATTAGACTGTTGTTAAACTATTAAATATTCTAGGTTCATTTTAGGATTATATATGAAAAATCAAAATTTGACAATGTCCACCGAAAATAAATAAAAGTACTTTATGACTTAAAGTGCAATGAATAAGTGTTAGTTTCAGGATCATTTTAGAGTGTACCATATGGTATATTGTCTCACTATGAACCTGTCATTTATAGCCTATCTGAACTATTTAATAAATGGAAACCATAACATGAGTTACGCTTTCCCTAAGCGGGCTCTCCGCATCCTATCTCTGTCTTATCTCAAATATCAAATGCCAATGGTTTGAATGTATCATTATAGGGGAAATGGATGTAATGTCGGCCTAAACGTCCCTAATTACATAAATTCAGCAATCGACTAAATTTTCAATAGCGACCAAAAATATCCATTAGTACCGTCCCAATGACGATTTTTAGCGATGGACCCAATCTTAGATCCATAGGCCAACATTAGAGCTATTTCCAATATCCAATCCAATCAACATATAACAATACACCACTCACTTGGCCAGGCTTCAGAATCGTCCAGTAGACAGGCAGTGCGCTCTACACTCAAAGTTCCCTTTTTTCAAATTCACCCCAAATTTGATATTTTACCCCTTTGAGTGTTGATTAATCACAATGAAACATGGTGACAGAGCACGGACTTTTGAGGTTACTAGAGTATCAAATAATCTAGGTCCTATATAGGATTATATCTGAAAAATCCAAATCTGGCCAACGCCCACCACAATTTTACAAGCTTTTTGATCACCAAAAACGCAAAATACAAGGCAAATATCCAATTTAAAAAGCGAAAATTCTGATATGAGTCACGTTTGACAGATGTTTTACATTTTTATCACCGCTACGACAACAGTGGTTGGTTGGAATTGAGTATTAGCTCTAGACTTGCTAAATTGTTGAAAGTGTATCCTACAATTTGTTGAAAAGTTGATAGTGCAGTCTGATTATCGACTTAACAGATTGTGGTTAACCCGTGTAGTAGTCAAGCTAGACCAGACTAGTTGACTGAATTTTAAACGATCTGTGCTGACCGAGATACGGTAATCGCCGAGCTTGACGAGGCTAGGCCGCCCAACACCCTATACTGAAACAAAATCCATTGGAAAAAAAATACTATATTGCTGGTTTAAATTGAATACCTTTACCAATAGATTTTTGCAGAAAACAAATTCATTTAATTTTACTATTAATTCTATCAAAATTACTATGCATTTTGAGCAAGCATAGTAGTTTTGCCAGAATCATAGTAATTTTGTTAACATTAATAGTCAGTTATAATAAATTCCTAGTAGATTTAACGGTAATAAGCGTCGTTATATTGAAAACAAGTGTTTTCTGCAAAATAGTATTCATAACTATGGTCCTTGTTTCAGTGTACGATCCGACACCATGCGACACCCCTAACAAAATCTGCAAACAGCGAGGTCGACTGTATCGCCACCACGTGGTCGGTTGTGGCTACCGTTTAGGTAACGTGTGTTATCATCGACACGAACCATCCACTTTGAGCCGTAACGTCATCAGACGCACGGGAGCACACGCTTCCCTGCCTGTCGGCGTGCTCTTGGTAGCTTCCGCAAGGTGAGCGTGACCGCATGATCGTCGTTAGTCCTTCATCACAGCGACCCTAACGTGACTGATTTCCGATTACCGTGCATGGAGACCGATTCCAGCGTAACGTTAGCGTAGAATTAAGCGAACTTTGTACCTACAAATTAGCACCTAGTGACTTCAGTTTTCACTCAGGGAACAAAATTGAAAAATGAGCAGAACAAGAATGTTGACGTTACCACATAGGATGTTCTGGTGAATTCTCGCGTCACTTTTCAAATAGACCAATGTAACATATCCACCATTTTGAGAAAATCGAAGTTGAAGTTCGACAGATTATTATTTTCAATGTTTAGAAACAATACATTTTGCAATACTCTTTTTAATGGAGTCAGTGAATAATTACGTTGAAAATTCAGTAGAAACGGTAAAATCACAATTTTCCTTTGAATTTCATGCTACAATATAGAAAAAAAGCCACATAGGACGTTTTGACTAACCAATTTGTACATCGGACATGTTACATTGGACGATTTTTCTCAATGGCATAATCAATGAGTGTTACATTGGACGTTTTTTCTACATGATACTAGATTCCCTTTCACATATTTCATAGTAGAATACCTAACTTTAGACTGGTTCCACCTTTAGAAAATGAGCACCAATCATGTTAGGCAAGTCCGAATGACCGAAGTAACAATTATGTACCCATCATTTCAAACTGTACATTGGACAATTTTTGACCTATGATTTGGATGGATGTTTTTGTATCACATACAATGATAGAAAAGCAATAGTTTGTATCGCTTGTAACAGTCACTCCATGTTGTAAATAGTAAATTAGTCATAAATAAAATAAGAATGAAATATATCGAATCCAAACTATGCCAGTAGCAAAACGACACTGGTCGATTTACTATAAAAATAGAATGCCTCGTGAGTAAAGCCACTCGACCTTGTACAATTTCTCCCAAGGCCGAGTCCTGTGAAATCTTCGGGAAAGTTGGGAAAAGAGAGAGTGTGGCTACACCCGACTTTGAACGAAGGACCAGCGATCGGAATAATCTCTCGCATTGCCGATCTAGTTCGAAGAAGTTCGCGAGAAAATCGAACTTCCGTTAAGTTCGGCCGAGGTCACCTTCCCTAATCTAAGGGTCACGGTTTCGATTCACTTCCGTCCGAACCGTAGATTGCAGTGGAAGTGATTCATTTTGTTCGCGTGATAGTTTCGTTTTGTAAAGTGAGTTAAAGCAACGTGGTTGTACTTTTATACTTAAAATCTAATTTCTGCTCGTTGATTGTTTAGCTATAATTATAAATCAATACGTAGTGTGCGTCTTAGGCTAGACTTTGTGTGTGCGGGAAATAAGCTAGACCAGGTAATGTGCTCGTTAAAGAAAATCTGTGCATTGTGCTTAATGATCTTTTCACCAGCCGACGGCTACGTTTACGTTTCCAACGTCATCATCTGCATCCCCGGGGCGAATAATCCCGGCAACCGTCACCTTGTCCGGTGGAAAGCGATCCGCATCTACATCGCTGAGCGGGGCTTTGTGGTTCAGCAGCTAAATCAACTGGTGAGTCCGTTCTGTTTTTTTCGTTGAGTGTGGCGCCACGGAGGACCTTTTTTGCCGACCATAAGGTCGAAGAGCATGAATTGCTAATATTTGGATTAGTCCAATAATTGTAAGGTTGGGGTGCCGGCAAGACAAACGTGCGCACGTATCGTCGTATATGGATGCGCACCCAACCTATCAATGTTAGACACCCGGGTGCCAAGCTTTGCCGTTCCCCGGTTGCTGCATCGTCGTGGGATTCGTCAGGAAGAAACACAAGAGCACAGCACAGATAGAAGGTAGTTCCGCAGACAAGAATAGGACTAGGTAGAGAAAGATAACAAAGATGAGTAGAAAAATAAAAGCCTTGGAAATTTCGTGAAAGCACGCTCTAGTTATAATAAAATCTAAGCTTACCGTTTTCCGTTGTGAAATAAATGTTTGATTTGATTTCGATGTAATGTTGTCCGATTCAAAATTAGAATGAGAGGAAGAAAGTGTATTCACGTTGTTTCGGGTCCGTGTAATTCTGTTGTTGTCTTCGGCGTGGTCGGAGTTTGACTTTATGTTGCGTACCTCTTTTGCTGCAACTGCGCCTCTGGTGGAAATAGGTGGAACTACCGATGAGGAAAGCTTGACGTGTAACGTCGTTTTAGGTTTGTGCTAAGAGGAAGAGGTGACAATTGGCTTCTTCCTCTTTTATTTCTATCTCTATCTCTATCTTACGCACATGAAATCGACCAATCAGGAGCTGGTTCACGTTTGACAGAAAAGTGGTTCATTTTCGCCCCGTATTGTCACCTCTTCTCTTAGGGTTTGTGTGCTTTCTTACCGTGAGCTTTGGGGAAATATTTCGAGGTGTGAGAGATTATGCTGTTTTTGCAAAAAGGGTTTCTACCCGTTCAATTTCGGTGGTAGTGAAGCTGGCTCGATCTCTTCTTTTTAGGAAGATTACTATTGGACTCGCCCTGGGGCAGTCTCATCCGGGCAAAACTCAACATGGCATGCGGTCTCCTTTACCGGAGTGGCGCTTAAGCCGCATACTTATCCGAGATCGACCAGTGACGGCTACACGCTTAACTCGATTTGTTTACATTTGTTACATTGGTCTATTTGAAAAGTTACGCGAGAATTGAATTGTTTTTAGATCACACTGCTGCGGGAGACAGAATCTCCTCTCATTATTTTCCGATTGAGTTTGGGAAATAATTTTCCGGCTTGCTGATTGGGAAAGCTAAATTGGGATCGGGTGTTTGAGCGTTAACTACGCGCCTTACCATAGAGCCGAGCACTCCAACAGCAACAGCAGTCTCTCAACTTGCGAGAGTGGCGCTTAAGCTGCTGACTTACATTCGTTCGAATCGAACATTGAATTTTGGCCACCCTTTTATCTGTCCCTCTTATGCGTCGGACTAGATTGTCGGGCGTCGTCGATTTCTAGCAAACAACTCAATCATACAAATCAACATTACCAACAGATTGTCGTCTCTGTGCGATGGTTGTGTTATTGTCCATTATTTAGGTATTTGATGCTCATTTGCTAAAAGCCAAATAAATGGTGTAGGTACAATGCTTTCGGATTACTTAAACTCGCAAAATTAGACATAAAAATATTTATTAAATTTTATAAGTATTCTCTTTCTTTCAGTACGATCAGTTTCCTTGTACCAATTTTTAAGGTTATATATAAGAATAGTTCGTAGGGTTGTGTAGGTGTTCTCCAAATATTATATCTTCGGGATACAAGTGTTCAATCGTTCAACAGGAAAGTAAAATAATACAATAACCAACAAAAGCTCAGAGCTGCCGTAAACTTGCCGTTAGGAATTTGTCTAAAAACACAACTTATCTGTGAACAATAGAGATTGGCACTTTTGCAGTGACAAAAGAAAAAAAATATAAAGTTCCTCTTCCTACTGAACGGTTCATCTGTGATGTTTGTCAGTGTGCGTGTGTGAGTAAAAAAATATAACATTTCTTTCTGTTCAAAATCTTAACTTGTGCTAGTGTTATCTTCTGTTAGTTTGCCTTGATTCAACACTATTAAATGCACATCGATGCTGCAATTTTTTTCTTTTAAAATGTTGACCATTGATTTTTGTTTTGTTTATTTTAACATATAACATTCATCGTGTGTGAGCTTACAGATTTTAATTTTTTTCCATTTTTCGATTTTGCATCTAATGATGCCAATGTAAGTGTGGCATCCACATACACCAATGTGTGAGTTTTCATCTAATTAGCTACCTATGTTCCTCTTGATATTGGTAAATTTCTGTTGCACAGTTTAAATGTTATGAGTTGGGCTATCAATAAACCGATGCTTTGTACTACGTACTTTGCTGCAGGAAGCTCTGCGCAGTGAACTAACACTACCGCTAAAGCCGTCGTGATCTAGGGATTCTGACGAGAAGGCTACGTGTTAGTTTGTTATTATTATTATTATTATTAGTTTTGTTATATTTTTGGTTAGATTTTGTTTGGTGTTTTGGGTTGATTTTAATTAAATTATATAAAATTTAGTAGTTTAGTGGCAACGAAAGATTTTTGTTTTCAACGAAAATATTGTGAATTTTCATAGCCAGTGAAGAAAGTCGAAGGAAGAGAGAATGAAAGAGAAAAAGTAGAGAAAAAGATGAGTATTTCAATCAGTGTAGAGCAAAATTTGAAACAGAAATTTTAGAAACATTTTTGTATAACGCAAACCGATCATGCTCGTATTTAAAACTGATGATACAAAGAAGCATTCGGTAAGCCTAGATATACGGTACATACAATTATAATTTGATTGTTAACAGTAGTTACAAAAAAGCCTGTGTCAAGAGTGAATTGCACTTGGTATTAGGGATAAATGTCATCGATACAAACCTAACATTATAGATTGTTTATGAACAACGATGAAACCGTTACGATAGAAAGTGATTTGCATTCAGAACACGTTTAAAAATTAGAAATTTGTTTTTAATCGAACACAAGTAGTTAAGTAAAAAAAAAGGGATGAGGCAACGAGAATGTCAACGCAGTTGTTAACATATAACGAGTCTGTTTTGTTTCAGTGTAAGTTCACATGACAGTTCAGCTGAGGTTATTTTACATCTTGATGGTATGTGTGGTCTGCGGATCAGGCTTGTTTTAGTTTCAATTATTGAATTAGTAAAAGTGTGAAGACATTCAGAAACAACTACGTTGATTTAACTAAAAATCAGGACAATTTACTAGATTATTCGAAAACCTAAGAAAAAATCTACATTTAAAAAAAAACTTCGAGAACGACTAAGTCATGGAAGAAATCCAGGGAAAATCATAAACATGAAGATAAACGGTTAACAATTGTGTGAAAGAGAAGAGAAGAGAACATTAATCTCCCCGAGAGGGAGCGACTGAGAGAGGCAATACAACCAATACAACCAACAGCATACACATCGATGAGGGTAGTTAGTTTGAGGAAGAACCTTTGTCCGTCGGTGAACCCAGCGTCAAGCTGCTCAGGCTGGAGCTCAGATTGTATGGCCTCGGCGATGGAGGCATCGGTGTATTCTCTTCCACCGGGAGACACGTTTCGACCATTGCTTCCAAGCAATTAACGAACAGTTCCGACGATTCGACCATCATATTGTACTGGAAGATAATCGCGGCCGTTGCACCAGATGCTGATTAGGGATTTTGGATTCGGACTTACCTTGGTGAATGGACCGGCGAATCGCCACAAACCTCCAAAGCCACAACTCTGCAAGAAGTGCAGCGGTTGCTGGGAAGCGTCTTCCGTTGCCAACATGTTTTGTATGATACTCTGAACCGACGCCAGTACAATCTGGTCGTTGGATACTGATAGTACGTTGTTCACCTTCTGATCTAGCAGCGAGTGACTGAAAAGAAAAAAGGAGAACTCTTGTAATCAAGACAAACAAGAATGCAAAACCAGTCAAGCATACATCACGGGGAACACCTTGGGGAAGACGACCGAACCCTCGGCTAGATACTGGTACAGTACTCGCAGCTCAGCCTCATCGGTAGCATATTTGACCAGTGTTGCCAGCACCGTAAGGACCAGAGCCTGCGTTGACGAATCCGGTAGAACTTCCGGATCAAGCAGTACGTTCGATTCGTTCGAAACTGACGATCGCGATCCACGCTCCTGTCGGAAAGAAGACGTTTGGAAGAAGCAAATAATGTACGATTGAGATATCCGAGTGTGGGCCCGTGAGCAAAAGCAATCTACGGAGAAGTGATATGTGACAGTCAGGCCTTTCTCTCTCTCTCTCTCAGCATTGCTTGGAAATACTGAGAGCAGCAAAAAGTGATGCCAGCCGTGCTTAAGTTTCTACTGAGATTTAGCTGTAAAATACAAGATTTGCGATCTTTGTTCGTTTGGAGTAGCATATACACACACACACGTACATACACATACACGCAAACACAACTACAAAAGCGGGTGTGTTACACGTGTAGACTATACCTAGTGAAGTGAGTGACGGTCAGTAAAGGTAATTTCATGTGAAGTGAGGTGCGTAGCATCAACGTAGCGTGATATGTTGCTTCATATGTATATTCAATAAAACTGGTGGGACAGGATAGAATAGCACACATATATATATAGAAAGAGAAATACAAAACGAGCAGCAGGAGTGGTAGCAGAGTAGCACAAAGAGAGTACAGTAGTGACTAGATACCTTCTGGCGTTCGGTAATTCCGGCAGTTTTGTCCTGGCGTTCCTTCGGTGTCGGAACGGAGAACGACCGTTGCGTCTTGAACAGTAGACGGGCTGTTTTTGAACACTACAAAGGCGCACGCGGGTTATGGCCAATTGGTCACGTGTGACAACAGAACACAAACGCAACAATAGACATAGTCAAAGGGAAATCAAATTCGAACGAAAGACGAACAAGCGGTTGTATTTCGAATATAATTAGAATGTAGAATGTAGATGTTCACAGGTTCAGTGTTGCCAGTTGCATGACAGTGTTGGAATGGTGATGAACAGTTTTGTAAGAAGAGTTTATAATAGTAGAAATCGAGTAGCGTTTGCATGCGTTTGTCCAAAAGGAAAACATACCGAAACAAATAGTTAAACCAAAAGTAATATTTGCAAAACAACATTTCGAATAGTGAATTTGATGAAATCGAAACAAACACGGTAAATCGAAGCAGAAAACGTATTTCATATACGAAGAACGAGGAAAATTTTGGAATGATTTCGGTGGTGAACATTGAAGATGGGCGATGGTGGTGGTGGTGGTGGTGGTGTTTGATGGTTGATATTGCAAGGTTCAATAATCCAAACACACAAGCATCGGTTTGTTATTGGTGGTAGTGGTGGTGGTGGTCAGGCGCAATGAAAGGAAGGGAAGAAGAAAAAAATGTCGATTTAAGCCATACGAAAGGAAAAGATATCGAATATCGAATACGAAACATAATCAGCAAAGGATGACGGAGAACAGCAATAAATGATTTTTGCTGGCAGATGTTTCTAGCGTTCAGAACCATAAGAGCTTAACTGCTTTCGTCGATATAAAAATAAGTAAACTTCAGTTTTTGCAGTCCGTTCTATTTCGATGCGAGTACTGAGAGAACTGCTCACCTTGCTTCCCGTGCAAGTATAAATGGCACAAGTGAGTTGCGAGCAAAAACACCGCTCAGATTCCAAAAATAAGCGAAACAGCTTGATCGATTTTTTGAACGACGAAAGCAGTTAGGCCTGTATGATTCTGATTATATATAATATAAAGAACAAATTCGAACATTAAATTAAAGCCGTTTGACAACATTTTGTTCTGCACACTATGACAAGTACAGTGACCGGCATAAAAAAAGATCCACCGATGTCGAATGTAAAAATGCATGTAAAACTCATTTATTTTTCAAAAAGTCAATTAATATGATTTATGTCTCAGATAACTAAATAACAAAAGTTTATTTTGACTCAACGATATTGGTAATTTTTATTCCAAAACTTAAAATAAACAACAAATTCAATTCGCATGACTTTTTGAGGTATGACATAAAAAAAGATCCATTTTATGTTTCATGTGTTATAATCATACAAAATCGATTATGATCAGCTGGTCAGTAGTTAATATGACCTCCCTTCGCTTCGATAATGGACTTCAGTCGTTTCGGCATGCTTTCGACCAGGTTTCTGAGGTGCTGTGGATCCAGTTCATTCCAGGCCTTCTCCAGGGCAGCAAAATATGTCTGCTTGTTGGTTACGCCGGTCTTTTCCACTCTGTTATCGAGAATTGCCCAGAGATTCTCGATTGGGTTCAAGTCAGGGCTCTGGGGTGGCCATTCCAAGGGTTTGATGCGACAGGCTCGAAAGAATGCGAGCGTTTTCTTTGCCGTGTGCTTGGGATCGTTATCCTGCTGGAAGATGTAGTTGTCTTCCAATTCCATTTTTAGCAAAGACTCTTCCAAATTTTCGTTAAGAATGTCAATATAGCCTTCCGCTGTCATGATCCCATTGATCAGGACCAGATTTCCCACACCAAACCATGAGAAACAACCCCAGACCATAATATTTCCTCCACCGTGCTTCATGGTTGCTTGAAGATGTTTGTCCTGGAGCCCTTCATCGCTTTTCCGCCATACTCGCAAACGTCGTTTTTTGTTAAAAAGCTCAAACTTCGATTCATCTGACCAGATAACACGTTTCCAGAATTCCAGGGGCTTATTGATGTGGGTTCTTGCAAACCTCAGACGCTTTTCCTTATTGACCTTGCTGATGAACGGCCGCTTCCGAGCAAAATAACTCTTTAAGCCGTGCTCAGCAATGCGGCGTCGAATTGTTCGTTCGGATATTGTTAGGTTCAACTTTTCTTTCACTCCGCGGATGGTAACAAACGGATCCTTTTTGATTTCCCGGATGATTCTGGAGTCCTCTCGGTGATCAGATTTACGTTTAAGTCCTCGTCCAGATCGATCTGCAACGCTTCCAACCCGTTGGTGCTTCAAAATTATCTTTTGAACCGCACCGCGACTCACAGAGTATTTTTCGGCAATTTTGCGCTGAGATTCGTTTTTCTCAAAGTCACGAACGATTAGATTCCGAATTAGATACAAGATTTTCTTTCCACCCATATTTGAACTTTCAAAAACTCGTTACTTTCGCACAATACGTTTACTTCTCAGCGCTGCAGCAGAGATTTGCGATGAATGTAAATAAACAAATGTCAACATTAGGAATTGTGAGGGGTATGTCAACGGAATTTACACGGCAAATTTTTTTTCTACAGGTGGATCTTTTTTTATGTCATACCGTAAACAAGGGGTGCGTTTGAATTTCGTTAGTGGTTGACCTGAACTGATTCGTATATTGAAACTCTTGCACGTACTATAACAAGTGGTACTAGAACAAGCTTAAAACGTGCAATAATATAGCTTTTAAAAAGTGCTTGGGAAAGAAAACCGATTTATCTAACAAGTGAGCCGGTGGATCTTTTTTTATGCCGGTCACTGTAACTGCTGAAAATTTATCAACACGTTTCAAACACAAACAGTAGGAGAACCCCTCGTGGTCTGCTTTCTGAGTCTGTGTCATTTGAAAGTTGAATAAAAACCCTTCAATTGGAGGCTCAAATGCGTTCAAGTTTTCAAATCAACATCACCAGCTGTACGGGGAAAATGGGGCAAAATATCACTTATGATACAAACTTCATTTGAAACTTCCAATGGTTGATTGATGCTCATTTTCTAAAGGTGGGGCATGCAATACAAATCTAAGGCTATAAATAAGGGTACCGGTTATTTTTCCATAGTAAGGTACTCTATCCAGCTTTCCACGCTCGGTAATGGCGTCCAGTATGGTATCAATAAATGTATCATTCACTGTGGTTTTGACATTAACTGGAGGTTCGCATTGTCACCCTCTCTTTCCCACTCCCAGGAACAGAGGAAAATGGAACAACATGTGCCCTCCAGTTAGTGTCAAAAACCACAGTGAAGGATATATTTATTCATACCTACAGGACGCCATTGCCGAGTGTGGAAAGCTGGATTCTGAAGTCTGTGAAAGGGAATTTAGACGATGTTGAACAAAACGAACAATTTAACACTAATTAATGATGTCATTGACTAGCAAACAATTCAAACAGCTTAAAAAACAATCTGTCGAACTTCAACTCAGATTTTCTCAAAATGGTGGAAATGTTACTTCTGTCCTTTTGAAAAAGTACTCGAGAACATTTTTATATTAAATTCTCATGTGATTTGATGTGGGTCTGGAAACTTAACAAGACTGTCAATGATCTTATGCATCAGTTCTCATGTGACGTATGATGGGTTTCGATTCAATTCAGAAACTGGCCTCTTCCCCTGGGGTACCCGGAACATCTCCGGATATGTCCAATGTGGTCCTGGATACTCAATATAACCACAATTGCACTTGTTTTTGAATACTCATGTGATTTGAAGTATCGCATTATGGGTTTTGGTTCAACTAGCCACTCGAGTTCGCGTTTGGCTCTCAACGTTAGCAGTTCAGCTCGTGCCGTACTCTGTGTGTGCATTTTTTTCTTCCCTTTGCATGCTGCGTGCTGGCGTTCCGCCACCCGAACGAAAGGTGCTTGTCCAAGGTTGTTGTCGTCTTCGTGTTTGTTCGTTGAGGTTGTGTTTCAGAAATGCAATCGAAGTGTGCCATGGCCGCTATTAGACGCGTTTGTTTTCGGTGGCTTGAGTTGTCGGTTCTGATTTCGGCGTTGGTCGCGCACTGCGTCTTCCAGACTGCGTACTGGTGAGCTAGAGCCATTGCGTCGCTAGTGATTGGTCGCAGTCCTCTTTTTTTCTTTGCTTTCGTGGTTGTTAGGAATTTCCGCTGCTGTGTTGGGGAAGGCGAGAGTGTTCTTTTTAACAACAGTTGAAGAAGTAGCGCCAACATATCTATGGGAGCTCTTCGAAATCATCGTGATGTCAGGGATTATTTTGCAACATATCGGGTGAGATCTTTCCTTTATTTTTCTATTAACTTTCATATAACTATGGATATGGTCCAATGAATGGGGAGAGTGGAAATGCCAAATGATCACCAAGATTTCGTCAATAAAAAAAAGTGCCTCTGTTCGAGGTTTGGCCAAAAAACTGAGAACATCGACGAGTAACGTCCAACGTGCCAATGCAAGAAACGGGCTTGAAACGTTCAAGAAACAGAAGAAGCCGGAATGGAGTCAGAAACAAGCCGCATCCGTCAAACCGAAGGCACGGAAGCTATACACTGAGGCAAATAGACTTAAGAATTTCATAAGGCTCGACTTATGCACAACACATATGAATTTCATAAGCGTGACTACTCTACGCCTTTAACCATTCCATTTTTCCAAGCGTTGAAAGACGAGTGCGGGCCCCGTAATCTCAACGTCCATGGTTCGGTTCCAGTGTGCTCCTTTATTATTTTTTGTCAACATTTGTTTTTTTCATAAGGCAAATCAATGAAATTCATACTGGTTTCTTATGGACGATGAAACATACGTTAAATTTGACTACAAGACGATTCCGGGAGACCAATACTACACAGTCCGTGATGGTCAGAAGTTGACGATGCCGATAAGTCAATTTTTACCGAAAATTTTGGTAAGAAGGTGGTTTGGTTTGGCAAGCGATATGTCAGCGTGGCAAGTCGACGAAGGAGACGATGAACTCTGAAATTTACGTTCGGGTGTGTGTTGAATCCCCATGATCCGTCAACATGATGGCCCAGTACAATTTTGGTCCGATTTGGTGTCAATGCACTACTCGCAAGACACGGTAGATTGGTACAAAGCAAACAATGTGCAATACGTGCCAAAAA